CCTCCTCCCTCTCTCTCTCTCTCCCGCGACCCACGAAATTCAGCGAATATTCCTGTGACTGTGTGTGTATTTGTGCGTTTTCTTGGCTGTTTCATCTTAGTATAGTTGCTGATGTAAACGATTGTGCGGGTTCTTCTTTTCTTCTTTCTTCTTCTTTTTCTACTTCTTCTTCTTCTTCTTTCTTTTCTTTTTCTACTTCTTCTCTTCTTCTCTTTTTTTTCTTCTTCTTTTCTTCTTCTTTTTCTTTTTCTTTTTTTTTCTTTTCTTTTTCTTTCTTTTCTTTCTTCTTCTTTTTCTTCTTTCTTCTTTTCTTCTTCTTCTTCTTCTTCTTCTTCTTTCTTCTTCTTTCTCTTCTTCTTCTTTCTTCTTCTTCTTCTTCTTCTTCTTTTTTTTTTTCCTTTTTATTCTTTTCTTTTCTTTCTTCTTTTTCTTTCTTCTTCTTCTTTTTCTTTCTTCTTCTTCTTTTCTTTCTTCTTCTTCTCTTCTTCTTCTTCTTCTTCTTCTTCTTCTTCTTCTTCTTCTTTTCTTCTTCTTCTTCTTCTTCTTTTTCTTCTTCTTCTTCTTCTTTTTCTTCTTCTTTTCTTCTTCTTCTCCTTCTTGCTTCTTCCTCTTTTTTTCCTGCTTCTTCTCTTATGTATGAACAACGGCGTGTATGCGTATATGTGTATCCGTCGACGGCGTGTATGTATGTGTATGTATGTTGTCGTGTATGTATGTATATAATCGTTGGCGTGTATGTTTGTGTGTACACGTCGCCGTATATGTGTGTGTGTATTCGTCAACATCTGTGCATGTGTACATACAATGTAGTGTATATGTGTTGCCGCCCATGTGTCCGTATATGTATACAAGATCTGAATAAGTACTCATTCAGACCTTGTATGTATGTGTATGTGTATACACGTCGCCTCATAGTCATGTGCATGTGCGTATGTTTAGGTATGTTTATGCTTTAGGATTAAATGCCTTTTTCTTCTTTTCTTTCTACTTCTTCTTTCTTCTTCTTTCTTTCTCTTCTTCTTCCTCTTTCTCCTTCTTCTTCTTCTTCTACTTATTATTATTATTATTATTATCATTATTATTATTATTATTATTCTACTTCTTCTTTTTCTTCTTTTTCTTCTTCTCAGTCTTTCTTCTTCTTTCTTTCTTTCTTTCTTCTAGTTCTTTCTTCTTCTTAGTCTTTCTTCTTGCTTCTTTCTTCTTCCTCTTCTACTTCTTTCTTTTCCTTCTTCTTTTTCTTCTTTTCTTCTTCTTTCTTCTTCCTCTTCTTCCTTCTTCTTTCTTTTTCCTTCTTCTGCCTCTTCAATATACGTCCATTTAAGTTTACGCTTTAGGGTTAAACGCACACGGCAGACATCACTCCCTATTTTGCTTTCTGATAAACCCTCCTCTTTCTTCTTCTTCTTCTTCCTCTTCTTTCTTTTCCTTCTTCTTCCTCTTCAATTTACGCTGGACTTCCCACGCCAACCCCCGCCGCCCGCCCATGGTGACTGCGGGCGTACAGGGTCTCCTTGCACGGATCGAGTTGCGAACGTTTTTCCGCTTGGGTCGGGAAACGTTTTGCGTCCTGCGCCCGAGGGGTGGGGGTAGGGTGGGGTGGGGTGGGGGTGGGGGAAGGGTAGGGGGAGGGGCGGAGTTGTTGAATATGAGACTGGCTTTGTTTCTTCGACTCTTTTCTTTGTCTTTGGTGCTTGGGGGGGAAGGGGTGGCTGTATGCATTTACAGCATGCATGGTATTATATGTATACACCCACAGATATATATATATATATATATATATATATATATATATATATATATATATATACATATATATATATATGTATATATACATATACATGTGTTTTCATATGTATATGCGTATATATTATATATATATGTATATATATATATATATATATATATATATATATATATATATATATATATATATATATATATATATATATATATATATATATATGTGTGTGTGCGTGTGTGTGTGTGTGTGTGTGTGTGTGTGTGTGTGTGTGTGTGTGTGTGTGTGTGTTGTGTGTGTGTGTGTGTGTGTGTGTGTGTGTGTGTGTGTGTGTGTGTATGTGTATGTATGTATGTATGCATGTATGTATATTGTATATATATACACACAAAGAGAGACAGACAGCCAGACAGATAAAGACAAGCAACCAAGCAGCCAGGCAGAGAAACAGACATACAGAAACAAATACAAACAAACTGGAATCCACAATGATGAGTCGTGAAAAAAGCACTGCGAAGTTCTGACTATTCAAGACAAGTCAGCGAGTTGGAAATGAATGTGAAAAAAAATCAACACCAATGATTCACAGCAGAAAGGTAGTGGTTTCAAGAACAGTGACATGGAATCCGAGAATGAAATCACACTTGAACAAAACAAGCGATAGTGAAATTGGATGTTAGCCATATTAAGGAAGCCATTCTGTGTGCACTATATAAAAGTATATCACTGTTTCTCTTGCTGCACCATATTGGGTTTAAAATCAGAACTGCACACTTACTTCTACTGGGCTTAATGAAGGTGTGCTAGTTTTGCAAAGGTGAAAGTCTAGTCTATAAGTATAAAGAGAGTGAGTTGCAGAATAAGAGAAAAAATGAATATGTTTATGATGAGCAAGTTAAAAGATGAAATTAGCGGTCAGATATCTGTGTAAAAAAAAACTGGAATATTTATTTTTAACGAGGATTCTTATGTCAGAAATCATGCAAGAATCGACAGAGATGAGCGAGTGTGGGAAGACATGTTATCAGAAAACACACATGTGTACGAAAGCACTGACAGGCGAACATACACACACACAGACAGAAACACACACGAGAGAAACAAGGAAACATACACACTTGCAAACACGGTATCTGAACTCTGACCTTCAGTTCGTATAACATCTCCCATGAGTATAGATTTACGAAATCGCAAACACCAATCTGGCTAAAAATATAAAATGCTGACCTCATAGGAAAAAATAGAAGGAGAGTTGCAGGAGATAGACAGCAGATAATAGAGTGTTTGGTTGGTAGAGAAAGAAGTGATCGGCGGAGAGCGAGGGAATGGAGGAAAACAGAATATACATACATACACGCATACATGCATAGCTGTATACGAACATTCATACATACACACAAATAAATAGGTAGGTGGATAGTATTTGACACAGATATGCAATATAGATTTACGTGTGTGTGTGTGTGTGTGTGTGCCTGCGTGTGTGCCTGTGTGTGTGTGTTTAAGAGAGAGAGAGAGAGAGAGAGAGAGAGAGAGAGAGAGAGAGATTGGTAGCGCTCCCTCACGCGATTGTTTACACACCAAATTCCTCCCTCGGTTTCACTCTCCCCCTCGTGCATGACAAGAAGTGCCTCTCTCCAAAGAGCCTACTGTGGCCCAGTGCATGGCAACAATCGGCGGGCGTGCAAAGCCGTCGGCCATTTCTCTAGTGCATGAGGACGCCCTCCTTCCCTTCACCAAGGAGCCGCCTGACCTCCTGGCGAGGGAAACCGGACACCGCCACTGACCGCAGATGATAGCGCTGGTGTCGCTTCGCTGTCGACCCGGCGGAGGTGTCGCGCCGTGCATAATGTTATTCCCTTCCTTCCCACGAGGTCTGTGGGGGATCTGAGTGCCGGGGGAAGTTGGGGGGGACGCTGCTCTGGGTGCCTTGTGTAAGTCCTCGGTGGGTATTTTCTATTTTTTGAATGAATAATAGCGAGAGGGTGCCATGAATTGCAGGATCACACAGAACCAGCGTTCACCAGGAGGGGGTATCAGACTACCTCCTTGCATTATGGTGGTGTCAGGATTACCATTTTCTAAACAGTGATCCCCGGCTGCCAATCTCTGCAAAATAACACGGAGGTTGCAAATCTACCACACAGTAAGCAACCAGTCACTGTGCAAATGGTGCAAGATTACCAGAAAGTTGTGTTGCAAAGTTAGGAGTCAGCAGAAAAGTGTATCCTTGGCTTCTTACACAAATATGCAAGTTACCGTTGGTTCGCTTCGTCATTTTCTTTCGTTTTAAGCTTTTCTTTTTGCTTGTTCTCAATTCTTACTTTACGTGTTAACCTTGAACGAATGCAGGGTGTGTCTAGTGCTTTTATGAAATGCTTGTTGGTCTAGACAGTACACGACAGATTAGTTTTTTCTTTCGTTTACTATGAAATGTTTGAAAGTAAAGATCAACTTATCGAATAAGTTTTGATTTTTTTCCCTTTTAAGTTCCCACGTGCCCTCCCACATTTGAACTTTCGACAAATGCCACGCTCATTAGGCAACGCGCGTGGCCTGTATTGTGACAAGAGACACCATATCCGCCGCCGAATGCCGTTCGTGTCCTCACCATTACCATTTCCACATCCGTCATCATAAGCCATCGATAGCGCCGCTGTGTCACCACTCCTACTTCCTCCATGAACGCCAATCAAATTGCTCAAAAGGTCTTAACCGCATAATAAGCGGTAATTGTCGCTAATCGGGCGCCGGGCAGCCAGAGGGAGGGAGAAAAGTGACCAACCCCGCTGCCCTGTCGTGGGATTTAAAGTCCTTCTTCCCCCCGTGCCTTTCCCCTCATTTCTCGCTCCTCCTCCGCCTCCCTCTTCCCCCTCCCCCCACCTCGCCCGGCCTTGAGGTGGGGTGGGGGTGGGGGGCGTCCTCGTTGCCTCCGCCAGCTGGGGGAGGGATGCTTCAATAAAACGACTGGACTAATTTGTTATCTTACTCCTTTTCCTCTCTCGATTTCTCTCTCTCTCTCTCTCTCTCTCTCTCCTCCCTCCCTCTCTCCCTCCCCTTCTTCTCTCCCTCCCTCCCTCCCTCCTCCCTCCATCTCCCCTCTCCCTTTCCTCTCCCTCCCTCCCTCGCAAGGGCATGTCTTGGTCGTGTTGTGCGGTGACGTGTGGCGGCGGGCGTGGCGAGCGGGAGGGTGGTTCGCGCGCGAGACACGTGCTTCGGCGTCTGGGCGAGCGCGAGAGCGGAGGTGAGCTTGACAGTGCCTGAGGAGAGTGAGGTGGACGAGGGCGCGCAGGGAAGGCGTGATCTGTCGCGGGGTATACACACAGGACGGATTTGGCGCGGCGGTGCTGGCACGGCTGCGGCGGCGGCGGGCGAGGGCCGAGGCAGTGCTGTGTGTGGTGGCAGTGTAGCCCTCGCGAGTGTCGTTGGCGGTCGCTTATGTTCTGATACTCCTCGCCATGTTTTCCTGGCTCAGCAAAGACGAGAGGAAGAAATGCCACCTGCAGGCGTGCGAGACGGTGCTGGAGGGGCTGAAGAATGTCTACAAGAACAAGGTGCTGCCCCTGGAGAAGCACTACAACTTCCAGGACTTCCACTCGCCGCCCCTGGACGACACCGACTTCGACGCCAAGCCCATGATCCTCCTGGTGGGGCAGTACTCCACGGGTAAGACCACCTTCATCCGATACATCCTGGAGAAGGACTTCCCCGGCATCCGCATCGGGCCGGAACCCACGACGGACAGCGTGGTGGTGGTGATGCACTCGGAGCGCGAGGGCGTGATCCCCGGCAACGCCCTGGTGGTGGACCCCAAGAAGCCGTTCCGCCCGCTCGGCAAGTATGGCAACACGTTCCTCAACAGGTTCCAGTGCTCGCAGCTCAACTCCAACGTGCTGAAGGGCATCACGGTGGTCGACACGCCGGGCATCCTGTCGGGGGAGAAGCAGAGGATCGACAGGGGCTACGACTTCCACGCCGTGCTCGAGTGGTTCGCCGAGCGGGTCGACCGCATCATCCTGCTCTTCGACGCCCACAAGCTCGACATTTCCGACGAGTTCCGCTGCTTCCTGGAGCGCCTTCGGGGCCAGCACGACAAGATCCGCATCGTGCTCAACAAGGCGGACATGATCGACCACCAGCAGCTCATGAGGGTGTACGGCGCCCTCATGTGGTCCCTCGGCAAGATCCTCAACACGCCCGAGGTCGAGCGCGTGTACGTCGGCTCCTTCTGGAACCAGCCGCTGCGCTACGACATCAACCGGTCGTAAGTACAGCCCTTTCGCCCTCGTTCTCACGCAGCTTCCTCTCCCTCGCAGGTTCTCATTTCACGGCCTCGTCCCCTGTCTCGGTTCTCTGTTTGTTTGTTCTCGCTCGCGCTCGGGTTGTCGGTGCTTGTTCACTCTTACATCATGTTCTCGTAGCTTGTTCACTCTGTTCTCGTAAAGCATTTTCACCCTCCCACTCGGTTCTCGAATAACCTGTTCATCCTCATAAACGGTTCAAAGGTCGTTGCTTCCTCCTCATAAACGGACGTCGGGTCGCTCCCCTCATCCTCATGAACGGACGTCATCTCGCCCCTTCCTCCTCATGAACGGACGTCATGTCGCCCCTTTCATCCTCATGAACGGATCAAAGGTCGTTGCTTCCTCCTCATAAATGGTTCAGTGGTCGCCCCCCTCATCCTCATAAACGGACGTCGGGTCGCCCCTTTCATCCTCATGAAGGATAAAGGTGTTGCTTCTTCCTCATAAACGGTTCAATGGTCGCCCCCTTCATCCTCATAAACGGACGTGAGATCGCCCCCTCATCCTCATAAACGGTTCAAAGGTCGTCGCGTTCCTCATAAACGGACGTCGGGTCGCCCCTTCCATCCTCATGAACGGATAAAAGGTCGTCGCGTTCCTCATAAACGGACGTCGGGTCGCCCCCTTCCTCCTCATGAACGGTTCAAAGGTCGTTGCTTCCTCCTCCTAATCGGTTCTCAAGTCGCTCGTCATCCCCTCACACTCGCCTCTCGTGTTCCTAGTTCATCCTCATAATCGGTTCTCAAATCGCCTGTTTATCCGAGCTGTCGGTTCTTATTTTCCTTCTTTATCCATTGTTTCTTTTCTCTGATTCCTTTTTTGCAGATTCGATGGTTTGTTTTGCATTGTCTTATCCTCTCTTTCGCTATTCATATGTCTTGTTTTCGTTCTCGTCTCTCTCTCTCGCTTTGACATTTCTGACTTCTCGTTCTTCTCCCTTTTTCTCCTTCCTCCTTTTTCCTTCTCTTCCTTCTTCTCCTTCTCCTTCTTCACTACTTCTCCCATCTCTCCCCTCCCCCTCCTTCTCGTCTCTTCTTTCTTTCTTCTTCCTTTTCACTCCTTCCCTCTTCCCCTCCTTCTCCTCCTCTCCTCCTTCCTCTCTTCTCATTCCTCTCTCCTCCTGTTCCCTCCCCCTCCTCCTCCCTTCCCCTTCCCCTTCTCCTGTTTCCTTCCCCCTTCCTTCCATCTTCTTCTTTCCCCTTTCCCCTCACATTCGCTCTCCCTTTCCCCTCGTTCTCCCGGGAAGCAGAAAGCATCGAGGGTTTTGGGAAGTTGGACGCCGGCCAGGGTGGTTCAGTGCACAGGAACTTCACTCTGACATTTCGCCCGACGGGGACCCGCGTCGCTGGCATTCCTTCCCTCCTCCGCCTTCGGCCTCTCCGTCGGCACTCCTTTCGGCCTCTCCTTCTTCCTTTCCTTCTTCCTCTCCGTCGGCTTCCCCGTCGGTACTCCTTCGGCACTCCGTCGGCCTCTCCTTCTTCCTCTCCGTCGACTATCCCGTCGGCACTCCTTCGTACTTCCGTCGGCCTCTCCTTCTTATCTTCTCCTCTCCTTCGGCCTCCCCGTCGGCACTCCGTCGGCAACTCCTACGCCTTCTTCTTCCTCTCCTTCTCTCTCCCTTTCCTCCTTCTCCTCTCCTCTCTTCCTCTCCTTCTTCCTTCCTCTCCTTCTTCCTCTCCTTCGGCCTCTCCTTATTCATCCTTCTTCCTATCCGTCGGCCTCCCCGTCGGCACTCCTTCAGTGTCTCCGTCGGGAATCCATTTGCCGTCCGCCTTACGTGGTGTTCGTTGAAGCTGTAATCTGCTGCATGTCATCGTGTTTTTATCATGTTAATGCTCTCTCTCTCTCGCTCTCTCTCGCTCCTCTCTCGCCTCTCTCTCTCTCTCCTCTCTCTCTCTGTCTCTTCTCTCTCTCTCTCTCGCTCTCTCTCTCTCTCTCTCTCTCTCTCTCTCTCTCTCTCTCTCTCTCTCTCTCTCACTACTACATATACATTTATATAAGTGTGTGTATTGTGTGTGTGTGTGCGTGTGGTGCACATGGAGTATGCACCTATATTTACAGAGCATTTTGTATCTATTTACATGCATATACACACATATTTGCTCTCTGTCATCCCTGTCTACCTGAAAATGTCTCTGTTTCCCCCATTTATCACCAAATCTATTTACTTCCCGTCCGCTAGCACCCCCCCCCCCCGCCCCTTTCCCCCCTACCCCCTTCTTCCCTGCACCACGTGAACTCTTTCGCTTCTTAAGAGAGAGTTTTCTGTTGATTTTTCCCTCTGTATTCCCGTTCTCTGTAACTTTTTTTTTTATTCTCATGCTTTTCTGTTTTTTTTTCCTTTCTTCCCCGTTCTCTTTCTCTTTTTCTTTTTTTATTCACGTTGTTTATTCTTAACTTTCTTTTTTTTCTTTTTTGATGTTTTTTTTTTTTATTCCCGTCGTCTCCTCTCTCCTCTTCGATCTGTTTTTTGCCTTTTTCTTGTTCTTTCTTCTTTTTTTTCTCTCTCTTTTTTATTCCTCTCTCTCCTTCTCCTAGTCTCTCTCTCTCTCTCTCTCTCTCTCTTCTCTCTGCCTCTCTCTCTCTCTCTCTCTCTCTCTCTCTCTCTCTCTCTCTCTCTTCCGCCTCTCTCCCCCTGCTCTCATCTCCTTCTCTCTCATTTTTAACTTCCCAGTCTCCTTTCTCACAATCCGTGTTCTTCTTTTCTCTCCTCTTTTACTTCAGCATATCTCTCTTCTTTCTCTCTTCTATCTGTCGTTAACTGGCCTTTTCGCTTTCTCATTTTCCTTTCTCTTCTTCTCTTTTTTCCCGTTAATTTTTTTCTCCCCCTGTCTTCTCTCGTCGTGTCAGAAGAAAACTCCGTCTCTATGCATAATAGTGCAAAGTTTTGTAAATTGTTTTGCTGTATTTAGATTATTGATATCTTTCGCTTTCGCCTTCTTTCTTCTCTGTTTTTTTGTCTTCGTCTTCTTCTTATTATTATTATTATTCCCCCTTTCTTTTCTTCTTCTTCTGCTTTTTGTCTTCGTTCTGTTCTTCCTTCTCCTTCTTTCTCTCTTCGTTCTCTTTCCCTTTTCAGATCTCTGCTCTCTTCTTTCTTCTTTCTTCTTTCTTGCTTCTTTTACTTCCTTCGTTCTTCTTCTTTCTTACCACCCCTTACTTCCTTTCTTCTTTTTTCCTTCTTCTTCTTCCCCTGTCTTTTGTTCTCCTTACTTAACTTCTCTTCTTTCTTCTCTTCTTTGGAGGATTCTTTAACTCTTCTTTTCTTTCTTTTTACTTTCTATCTTGCTGCCCTTTCCGCTCCTGTTTTCTTCTTCTCTTCTTCCCCTTTATCTCTCCCCTTCTTGCTTGCTTCTCTTCGTTTGCGTCTTGCGGGTTCCTCATTCCTTTTCTGTGTTTTGGTGTTCTTCTTTTTCCTTCTTCTTTCTTTTCTTCTTCTCTTTACTTTCGTTCACTTCTGTTTCTTCTTCTTTCTCTCCTTCCTTCTTCTTCTTCTCTTTCTTCTTCCTTCCTCTCCTTCTTCTTCTTCTTCTTCTCCTTCCTGATTCTTCTTCTGCTTCTTCTTCGTATTGCTGTGATTTTAGGTTCGCTGATGTTTTAGAGTGTGGAATTTTAGGTCTGTGTGATTGCTTGTATTTTGTGGTTATGCGTGTGTGTGTGAGAAGAGAGAGAAGAGAGAGAGAGAGAGAGAGAGGAGAGAAGAGAGAGAAGAGAGAGAGAGAGAGAGAGAGAGAGAGTCGAGAGAGAGAGAGAGAGAGAGAGAGAGAGAGAGAGAGAGAAGAGAGAGAGAGAGAGAGAGAGAGAGAGGGAGGGAGGGAGGAGGGTGGGGAGAGAGAGAGAGAGAGGGAGGGGGGGAGAGACAGACAAACAGGGCAGACAGACAGAGATTGTATATCTATTATATGCTATGCTAAATAGAGAAGAGAGAGAGGCTGACAAGACTGCCAGATAGACAGCATCCAACAGACAGAAATTTGTATAAAGTATAATACTAAATGTGTGTGTGAGAGAGAGAAGAGAGAGAGATGAGAGATGAGAGAGAGAGAGAGAGAGAGAGAGAGAGAGAGAGAGAGAGAGAGAGAGAGAGAGGGAGAGAGAAGAGAGGAGTGAGAGAGAGAGGCAATAGACATGCAGACAGATAGATATTTGTATATAAGTAAGGGAAAGGAGAGAGAGAGAGAGAGAGACAGAAGTGTGAGAGGCAGAGAAGGAGAAGTGTATGTGTGAGTGTGTGTGTGTGTGTGGTGTGTGTGTGTGTGTGTGTGTGTGTTGTGTGTGTGTGTGTGTGTGTGTGTGTGTGTGTGTGTGTGTGTATGTGTGTGTGTGTGTGTATGTGTGCGTGTGTGTGTACTAGCGTGCAGAGATACATGTGCGTACAATTACGGTTCTTCGTAAGGGTATGATTATTTCATAATATCTTGTGTGCGTGTGTAAATGGAAATTCAAGGAATTGGCAACCGTAAGATATTTAGTCACAGAACTCCCGCTCGGAGGTCAATGGTTTATGCATGTGTGTGTGTATGCTTGAGTGTGTGTGTGTTTATTTGTGAGTCTGTGTTTGTATGTGTGAGTGTGTGTGTGTGTTTATTTGTATGTCTGTGTTTGTATGTGTGTGTGTGTTAATTTATGTGTCTGTTTGTATGTGTGTGTATGCTTGAGTGTGTGTGTGTTTATTTGTGTGTCTGTGTTTGTATGTGTGTGTGTGCTTGAGTGTGTGTGTGTTAATTTATGTCTATGTTTGTATGTGTGTGTATGCTTGAGTGTGTGTGTGTGTTTATTTGTGTGTCTGTGTTTGTATGTGTGTGAGTGTGTGTGTGTGTTTATTTGTGTGTCTGTGTTTGTATGTGTGTGTGTGTGTGTGTGTTTATTTGTGTGTGTCTGTGTTGTATGTGTGTGAGTGTGTTGTGTGTGTTTTATTTGTGTGTCTGTGTTTTGTATGTGTGTGAGTGTGTGTGTGTTA